CTCTTGACACGATCTCCCACATCTTCTACGCTCACATCAACTGTCCTCAAATCGCATTCAATAGCATCCCTCCATCTCTTTTTTGGTCTTCCTCTATCTCTTCTTCCTTCAACATTCATTTCTATAACTGTTCTTACAGCTTNAACATTAATTTCTATAACTGTTCTTACATCTTCCGATTCTTCTCTCCTCATAACATAATCAAACCATCTAAGTTTATTTTCTCTCATCTTATACACGATTGACGCTACACTTACATTCCCTCTTATATGCTCGTTCCTTTTCCATCTTTTCTAGTCACTCCACTCATCCAACTAAACATTCTTCTCTGCTACACTCATTCTCTGCTCTACTTTCTTATCAATCGCCGAACACTCTGAACCATACATCATAGCTAGTCTCACTACATTGTTGTAGAATTTATCTTTTAGCCTCATTGGAAATCTTTTATCGCATAAGACACCAGACGCTTCTCTCTACTTCAACCACCCGCACTTAAACCTGTGTCTTACATTCTCGTCAATACCATCGTTCTTTGCACTATTGATCCTAAATACTTAAAACTTTCTACCTCCCCATTCACACTCTCGCCTATTGTCACTAATCTCCTCATTTCACCTTCCTCATGTTCTCTTTTGTCAACTCAGCCAGAATTTCTGGTATAGATAAAATTAATTGTCATAAAGTGTCTAAAATTGGTCTTGTTCTAGTAAACTCAATGGTAGATAATAACTTTCATGATATAGATCTTAAAAGGTCAGATAAAGTTATAACTGTATTTTCAATAACTTCTATTGTTAAAATTAATAATAAAATAATTAAAGTAAACCCACTGCTACTATTTCAACTAATAGCTATTTAAAAAAAAACCAGCAGTGTCCGGCACTGTATGTATAATTGGGTGCAGTATAGATGATATGTGATATAGATTAAAATCATTATCAAAAAACAACGCCTTGATGCAAATCTGTAGTTAGTGTTTAATTTTAACATTTTAATGGATTATTACAAAAACTACATGATCTCCTATTTCCGTATTTATATCCTAAATACAAGTTATATGCATTACTAGTGCAAAGTATGTAATCGATGGAGGATTTATCCACTATAAAGTTATTTGACAAATGTATCAAACAAAATTTTTTTCCATTTTCTTATTCATTTTCCCATTTTAAATTTTGATAGAATATATCTTCAACAAAAGTACAATTTTCTTAATCTTTAATCTTTATTTCTATTGAATTTGTACACCAATGACCTTTGCAATGTTCACATATAATAGAACATTGACGATCTGTTTTTCGGCAGCCCTAACTTTTACCACCTCCAGCACCAGACTAAAGGCCGTTTTATGACAATTATCTTTATTATTAGCAGAAATTCTGGTGGCAATTGACATAATATAAATGTTGTTTAGGAATGTACAATTTAGCGTTTAGTTGGGTTTAAACAATATAGCGTCAAATCAATTACTTACTCTATCGGTTGTATCTTATTATTCACTACTCTTTGATGATACTATAAATAAATAAACTTACACATAAACACATATGCATTTATAACATTTTGTCTAATGTAAGTATAACATGATAAAAAGTAACCGTAAAATGAAAAAAATTGGAAAATCAATTTTAGTACTCATATTAAATGTAATGTAACTCGAAAAATATTTGTTTAAATGAAAAAATATAAGATACCTTTTTTATTTAAAATTGTTTTTTAAATAACTTTTGTACGAAACTTTTTTTTGTAAGTTAAATATTTTTTGAGAAAATTAAAAAAGCTCATATTTTTGAACTTTTGCGAGGCTGTAAAAAAAAAAGCTCAAGTCCAATCGATGAGGACTTTTAGTATGTCATTATACATATCTTAATTCAACTTTTTAAAAAAAAAAAATTTGGTTGGGAATTTTTTCCGCCATTTTTCCTTCGTTGACTGGCCTGTCTATTAAATTGAGTAGTTTTACAATATAAAAGTGTATAATACTATGTTACTACTAATATGTATATTTCCTTGTTGAAATATCAATAGTTTATTGCTATTGTAATAATGTTATTTTAAATAAAAATTATTTTGTTTTATTAAATATTACTTACTGTTTTATAAAAACTTTAATTATCACATAGTAGAATTGTGAATTCTTTTGTATACAGTCCACTTAGGTTGTTATAATATTTTAATTAAATTATTATTCATTAGAAAGTATAAAAATATTATAATTTCTCCTTTTCAGAAATTCATAGTATTCTATGTTCTAATATTAAAAAAAAAACAAATTGGTCCTATCCTCTTTCTTTCCACTTAAAAGTAGTATGAACTTAATTTTATAATTAATTTTTAAATTAATTTTATACATAATTTTTAATTTTATGAAAACATAAATGATTAGTTATCTTAAAATTAAGAAAATTATCTAATTAAGTAGACGATAAGTTGATAACAACTTTTGAACTAGTGTTTTAAAAAATATTAGCACTTATTAATATGGCGGGAAAAATAGTGCGGTTCGTAAATGTACAGAGATAAAAATAAACAGATTCATTTAATAAAAAAAAGATCAATACAATTATTGAGGAGTAGGTATTGATATTAAATTAAAAAATGTATTGCCTATCAACTATTATTGACTTTGACATCACTGCAATGATTTATGATAAATTACAAATTCAATTTCAAAACTAAAATTATAATCAACTAACGACGGCTCGAAGAAAATTCGACATTCTTTTATTCTTTTTGATAAATGTACACTTAGTATTTTGATAAACATTTATCATAGACGTAATACAATATAAAATTACTATATAATATTTATAATTTCTTCGTAAAAATAATAATATTAAATTATTGAATATTATTTTTATAGTAATTTTAATGACTATAAAAAGTTTTTATTCATTTATTGGCTTCGATGCGAAGCTGAGAAGTTAATAATTTTACTATGATGTGTTTTTTTTTGTGTCTGTTACCACTTTTTCTCAGCTCTTACCGAACTGATTTCTTTCAATGATACGCCAAAAGATCACAAATCGTATCTAGTCGAAGATATTACACTCAAAAATTGAAAAAATTTCCCTCGTTCCCCGTAAATGGGGGAAACCTCCAAAAAAATTACAAATTTAAAAATCGCTAATTTTCGCAATTTTTTCAATTTCTTGTCTTCGTGGTGAAAATGGCTACCGAATGCTATTTTTGTGTTAAAATTCTCGATTTTATATTTTACATTTTTAACTTTATNCTTGTCTTCGTGGTGAAAATGGCTAACGAATGCTATTTTTGTGTTAAAATTCTCGATTTTATATTTTACATTTTTAACTTTATAATGTTATAACTTTTCGATAAATATATAGATCAATACAATTTTTTATGAAAAATAATATTTAAATCCTTTTTTTATTTGACATACTTTATCTTAATCAGATATTAATAAGGAAATAGCAGATCATTAGTTAAATCAATTATTAATTATGGTACTTCAACTAGGGAAGGAACTGTCTAATGGGTGGAAGCTTTGAACCTAAAATTTGAGTAAAACACCATATAAAAAATATTTTATTGTCATTTTGTAATACTACGGACATTTTTACATACACTAAAACACAAAAACTATAGGAATTAGTCAAAATTAATACACCACTAAAGTGGTATAAGTATGAGTTCACTATTCCTACTGCGTTTTGTAATAAATTTACGTTTCCCAGAGTTATTTATAATTTAAATATAATAACAATACATTAATCCACTTATACCATAAAATTATAACCGTATTTACACGATAATTGTTGTAATGTACCAGATGATAACTAACAGAATCTAGCAATAAAATTCATATATTTAGCAAAAATCGTAATATGATCGAGCTATTTTAGCTATAGCAATATATAATCGGTTCAATTAAATTTTTACTCATTATTTTTATTTCGTAAAATTTAATTTTAAACAATTTTTGTATGAAACATTAGGTCGTAGCAAATATGGTTCGTCAGATATGATGAAATATTCGTAAATATGCCAAATTCGGCAATTTTATGAAATATTACGTATTTTGGCAATTTTCAAGAAAACTAACGGATTTAGAAGAAAAATTGTAAGAATTTAATTTATACAAAACAATTATATTTACAATTTATTTTTTATAATTTTTTTTGTGAGAGCCCTAATTTACGAGTTAGTTGTTAAAAACTAAATAAGTACCCTTTTTGACCGACTATTAATCCTAAATCGGTACAGGTTAAATTTACCTGAACGGACTGAAATTATTTGTAACCACTTTTTGTATGTATACACATAAATTTACGGGGCGAGCCCGAAGAATTTCCAAAATTTTAAAAATAAGGGACACCCTTATATACATGCATTTGTTCATAGATTAATACTGAACACCCTGTATATATATATACATATGTGTATATATTAATAAATATACTTTTGAAGTTAATAGATGAATGATTGTGTAAGCATATGTTGTATTTTATGAATATTTATTTTTGAGAAATACAATATTACATTTAAAGATGATCTGTTACTGTTTGCTCTGTTCTTATTTATGATATTTTTTATAAAAATTATTATTTTTCGCTTTTGTCATTATTTTTTGACAGAATCAAAATTAAATTATGATAAAAAAGAAAAATCCCGTTATTCTCTACAAATTTGAATGAGTTTTAAAATTTCAAATAATTTTTATTCGTGATGTTTTGCTTTATCTATTACAACTAAAAAAAATTAAATTTATTTATTCAAACTCAAGTGATAATCTTACACAGTTTAAAATCAATATTTATTATACGTTCTTGCAAAAAAGTAATAAATGCGGTTTAAAGCAAACATATATTGTTTTCTGTAAGAATCAAAATTAAATTATGATGACAACTGAAATGAAACGCTATAAAGTATAAGTTCAAATAATTAATTCTAAATTCTAAGATTAACAAAAAGTGTAATCTATATTTTGGTAGTGTATAAAATTAAATTATCTATTAATAATACACATAAAATACCTGCTAGTGTTGTTAATATTGAACAATTCTTCTACTTTTTTTCACTTAATTATAAACATATTTTGTGAGATTTTTATGAAAATAAGGCTAAAACAGAAATAATGTAAACAATATTGTCATGATTTATTAAAAAAAAAAAATAAAATATTCATCTTATTAATGACAAATAATAAAAAGTATGCTTTTAGCGTATTTTAAAACTAGAATTATTATTTAAAAAAAAATAAAACAAAATATTCGCTGAATAAATTGTCTATATTTTTCATTAATAAAAGGCCTCAATGAGAAAAAATTGTGGTTATTTAATATGATGTAAATGATTTAATTCACAGATTATGCTTGTTTAATTAGCGTAAGGCTATGTAATTACCAATAAAAAGAGAACATAATTAATAGAGTAAGTGAGTTAACAAAAGAAAAATATGAAATGTGTGATGTAAGAATGAAGATATATTTAAGCAGAAGAAGAGAAATAATTAGATATAAATAAATGTGTTTTCATTGACTATTACTATAAATCGTAGTTAGTGTGTTAAAAATTACTCTTACCTGATATACCTTGACGGCAATCCACGTTCCACGGTGTAGAGGAGGATAAATACTTTAGGTTTTATTTTGTAATCCAGTAAGAGTACAGACGCACAAGTTGTATAATTAAAAATAGTTTCATAACGAACGGAAAACGGACCTAGGTGACACGCACAAAAAAAAATAAAAACGCAATAGCCAGCTTAGTAAAGACTATGTCATCTTAGACACACTTGTAGACTTTTTGTCTACTGCCGTCACGTATGCTCACGGCTATGTATAGGTATATATCTATTTAGTTAACACGTCAAAAAAGAATAAAATTGAGTCACACAATAGAATTCAGTGGAAAAAGCACATAAAATGATCAAACCGTTAAGGTGGACGTCGGAAACGGAACAGACCGCAATATCTGTAATACATATTCGGCGGCGGCCTTATCTCGTTGTCAATGGCGGGGAGACAACCGATTGTCATATTAATAGCTGGACGGCTGATATCGAGAGAGACACGGGTGAGCGCCAGCCTGGAGCAAAGGGCGGTGCCGTGTTAACTCCTCCCCCCACCAAGCCGTCAGCTATTTCTGACCCGGCCGGTTTTTGTAAACAAATTGCCGCATCATACACAGTAGTTATAAGTAATAAACAATTGTAGACTTACCGCCATGTTCTTTGTGTGTGTGGATGGTCATTGATATTGCGTTTTAAGACTTACCGTATTAGATTGAAACAGTCAGTCTCGTTGGCAAGGGAAAATGGACTATTCGGTCCGGTCATCCGGTTTTTTCATTACGACGATTACGTAACGCAAATAATATCGACGGTATTTTCGTGTCCCAGGTGCTGTGCTCGCCCTCTACCAGTAGGGCGCGGAAACCTTTTTATTACGTAAGTATAAGTATTTTTTTTTAACTTTTTTTTTGGGTTTTATTATATAATTAATTAAAATGCCACTTCGTGAATAAATTTTAATAATTGGCCATATTGTTTAAATTGTTTAAAAATGTTAATGTATAATATGAGATTTACAAAAATAAATTTAAACGAAAGTGATGCTCCAGTTATAGAAGAATTTTTTGGAAGAAAACACGAATACCGACTCAAGAACCTCATAAATGTAAAGACAAGTCGAAAAAGTTGTATGAGGAATGGAAAACATTAACAAAAAATACCAAAAAAATGCTGAACATTTATGGCAAAAAGAAAATATGTTTTTAGAAAAAATCAATGATTTATTTGACACAGCCCACCAAAGCGTACTCGAATTGATTAAAATTGAAGAAAATGGCTATTTTTAAATAAATAAAGAGAAAAAAGACGTCCATGTTTAATGTTGGGAGTAGATATAAAACTAAGTGGGATCGAAAAACGAAAATTTACTCGTGAAGAAGAGATTAACACTAGGCGTGAATAGTATTTAAATACGCCGTCTACGTCGACTGGTAAACTCAATTAAATTAATATAACATAAAATTTTTAATTTTTGACTTAAGACAGTAAAACTAAAAATCAATATTATATTTCACAGAAATTATACATTACTCAGATTTTGGTGAATGCAATTTTCATGTAAAATTAAATGAAGATGATTCTGAGCCAGTAATTGAGTTTAAAAATGAAAAAAAAATTCCAAATACTGAAGTTGGTTTGGTTGTAAAACCTTAACGAGTTCGTAAATAAATTTTAAACCCACGATTAGCTGCAGCACTTAAGTGTAAAATAAGTGAGAGAGATATGGTCCATTTACTTACAGCTTTTTGGATGCAGTTTCATTAGATTCAGCTGTCTATATTATTAATCGTACATCTATCCGTAAAGCAAGAGATGATTATGGAAGAACTTACTATGAATAGGTGAGAAAAAATTATTTAAGTATAGAAAAAGATATTGTAACAATACATTGGGACACAAAATTATTGGACAAAAAGTTGATAGATTAACAGTAATTGCAACGTCATATGCAGTTGATAAACTTTTAGGAGTACCAAAAATATCTACTGGAACTTGTTTAGAAATATGTTTCGCTATTTATGAAAATGATAGCTGGGGATTGATAAATAATATCCAAGCGTTTGTTTTTGATACAACAGCATCTAACACTGGGAAATTTAATGGTGCTTATTCTTTATTAGAAAGGAAAATTGAACGAGATATATTATTTTTCGGCTGTCATCATCATATATACGATATAATATTATCAACAGTTTTTACGATTTGTAAAGTAAGCGTCATGTTAGGACCTGAAATTCCGCTATTTAAAAAATTAAAAAATCAGTGGGATACTATTATAAACACTGATTTTTCTACTAAGGATGAAACAAAATTGAAAATTGCTAAAAAATTATGTGAAGATATCTTTGATGAAGAAGATGAAATAGAAGAAGAGAATGAGACCCCCAAAAAACTAATTTAAAAAAAAGGTGCACATTTCATTTATTTTTTAATGATGATCATAAAACTATTTTAATTAAACTTATAAGTAAAAATCTCAAAAGATATTTAAAAGATTCAATATAAAAAGCGATTTTTCAAAAACTCATCCCAACACGTGGAATAATTCAGCTAATTATAAATATGGCGAGGAAAAAATCATAAAAATTAAAATAGTCAACGATGCAGCAGAAAGAAAAACTTATTGAAGAATTTGATCATAAAATTACAAAAAATGAAGAGCGAAACAATTTCTTCTGCAGGTAAAAAACATTAGTTAATAGTTTTGACAGTAAATAATAATATTTATTTTTAATTTTAAACTATACAAGAATATCGTGAAAAATATCCGAATGCATCACTTAATCTTCTTAAAAAGCCCTTCTGGTTTTTTTTATTTAATATAATTTATTTTTTATTTTGTTTATTTTACATAAGCCTATGTTATTTTACAGACATGAGGTATGTTTTATAATAATGAAATAAGAATCAATTTTTGTTAAAAATATTTATTTTTTTATAAAATTAAAATTAATTTATTATAGTCTATTATAATTTTTGTTACAATTATGTGATAAAAAATTATTCTATAATACGCGAAATCGCACATATTTTGTTATGTTTCCGAGAATGAGTTCACTATACAAAAAAATATTAAGTAACCATTTTTTTAAAACGTGTTTTGTATTACATTCATTGTTCTATAAATTTTTTTGTAAAATGAAAATTGTAACGACTATATGTCAAAACAACGGATTTTACGAATTTACACAAAAATAAGCTAAAATCGGCACGTGTTAAAGTTGTTCAAATGGGCTGAAAGTTTATATGATTTATATTTAAGGTATTTTAAATAAAATTTTGATCTGCGCCCATAAGAATTACGGATGTTGAAAATAAGTGGCACCCTAATATATAAATATATATATATACAGGGTGATTTTTTTATCATAACCCACTCAATTACTTGCAGAATAATAATAACTTAAACATTTTTTTTTTTTATTATTTTTAGTTACATATTATTCTTAAATTTTTAACTATGTAATACTTTTTAAGTTCATCCCTTATGCCTTGGAGTGGGGTCAACTTTGTTTTTTTAAATGGTAACACATATTTTTAATTTAATAAAATGTTTGAGTTTTTAATTTAATAGTAAATGGCATTTGAATTTTTAATATAACTTTATTAGCTTATTAGATATAAACATTTAAAGTTTCAAAATTTTGAGTTAATATACATGTATAATACACATGGGATTGTAAATACAGGTAGCTAATTGGATTTTTATGACATTGCTGTCTCAGTTACGGATTGTTTATTATCAATTATTATTATCAATAGATATACTTTCTGTATTGTCAGTTAGTGTATTTATAAACTCATAACAATGTGCCTTACTATCATTAATAATAAGAATGCTGTGTACCTGCTAATATCGATGTTATAACAATAAATATTAGTCCAAACGTTGTTATCAACCAATTATTTTCTTTATTAGAAAACTATCTGTTATATAAACTAGTTAATTATGTATATTGATATTAAAAAACTTACTTACTACAAGTACTAAAAACGTACTTGATTTTATTATTCAAAATCGTATAAGTCACCTCTAGTTTAAGGTTGAATTTTATCGGTCCAATTTTTTTAAGACAATCGCGTAATTTTTCGACTAAATTGTCTCCTAACTTATACTTTATACACCTACTTTACACATAATTCAATTAATCTTATACGCATTCCATAAAAGATTCTATATCATTGACCATTCGAATACAACGAAAAAATATCTCAAGAATTTCGCTAGAGATCGTTAAACCAGTTTGGGCGAGCTATAAAAAGGGCAATTCTCCCAAAATAAGGAGTTCTTGGTTTATACATACATATAGAATCTGTGTGAGTATATAGTTCGCTCTTGGTTACAATTCTATATCAAATCTACACTGTTTTTACATTTCTTTTCTTATCGCTGGGATTTAAAAGAAATATTATACAAGGAGTGGCAAAAAAAACTCCCTGATTAAGGAAACTAATAAAAACTAAACCAAGTCAAATATAAAAAAAAAAATTTTATTTATAAATTGTACATATAATGCTATTTTATATTAATTATTTTTAAAAATTGTATTACTTAAGTGGCGGCCCTCATTCTTGATACACTGATTGAGCCTTTCACTGTAATGTTTTATGACTGTACGGGTCATTTTGGGCAAAATAGCAGCAATATCCTGGGTTATTACCTCCTTTAGAGCTTCCAAAGTTTGTGGACGATGTTGGTACACTTGGGCTTTAAGATATCCCCAGAGAAAAAAATCGCATGGGTTCAAATTTGGTGAACGTGGTGGCCACCCAATGTCACCTCGCAAGGAGACAATATGCACAGGAAACATTTCTCGCAGAATGCCGATTGAATGAAAAGGTGTGTGTGCTGTTGCACCATCTTGTTGAAACCACACATTTTGTTGTCCATACTCATGAAAAAAATCGTTCAATTTTGGCTAAAGAAAATGTTCAAGCATCTCACATTATTTATAATAGATTAGAGGTCACTGTTACAGTGGTACCGACTTCTTCAAAGAAATATGGACCCCACACGCTAAACGTGAAAATAGCACACCAGACTGTAACCTTTGGATTGTGGAGTGGTCGCTGGCGAAGTTCTTGAGGATTGTGTTCAGACCAGTATCGAAAGTATTGTTTGTTTACCGTACCTGAAAGATGAAAATGTGCCTCGTCCGTAAAAAGCAAAACATCTGTACGGGGGAAATTCCAAGGAAGATCCCGACGCAATGTTGTTCGGGTTTCCCAATCTCTAGGTAAAAGTTCTTGAGTGACCACGATTTTGTAGGGGTGCATTTTAAGTTTTTGGTGCAGAACCCTCCGAACACTACGATCGGAAAAGTGTAAAGCAGCCGCGTGTTTCCGTGCAGAATGCCGCGGAAATTGCTCGATTGAAGTTCTCACAGCTGTCACATTTTCTAGTCCTGTTGCAGTCCGAGGTCGGTCCGTCGATTTTCTTTTTAATGCAGAACTTGTTTGCCTAAAATTTGATATCCAATGATGTATGGTTTTGCTATCGAGAACGGGATCACGTCGATTGAGCGTGAACCGAATACCAAACGGTCGTTATCGGTGAACCGTCATTATTTTAAAATTCCTTAACAACAAACGCACGATGCTCTTCTGACCAAGCCATGATAAATACTAAAAATGGCATCGATAAAGCTTTCTATCGATGTACTTACCACTAATGTACCTCCACCCAAACCCAAACTATAACCTAATCAAACTATGGATTTCTTTCTGCCAAACCCTG